TTAACAGGGTCTTCTCCTTTGACACAGACAGGGCTATCTGACTTTGTTCCTGGGCGGGTTGTAGCTGATGCGGCTAATCGGAAGCGGGTGAAGTATGAGGCTAGTTGTCGGCTGATTGGATACGATTTCATTCCCTTCTCCTTTTCTTCACTTGGGGAATTAGAGAAGGAGGCAGTTGCGTTGCTGAAGCGGGTTCAGAGGTTCTCGACGACGCAAGACATTGGGGCTCGTGCTGCAGCTCATATCTTCACTAGGGTAGGCTATACTTTAGCTAGAGGAGTGGGGGCCCAAATAGTATCTCGGTTTCCCACTAATTTATTGTAGGTTGTATGACTTTGTCTGTTTTTGAGATAATAATAATAATAATAATAATAATAATAATAATAATAATAATAATAATAATAATAATAATAATAATAATAATAATAATAATAATAATAATAATAATAATAATAATAATAATAATAATAATAATAATAATAATAATAATAATAATAATAATAATAATAATAATAATAATAATAATAATAATAACAACAACAACAACATTAATAACTTTTGATTAATAAGCAATAAATAATACATGCATCAGCTAATAAGGTAGTTTAAGTATTCTATATCTTGTCATATTTCATTTAATTGATGAATTTAAACAAACAGTTTTAATTATGCAACGACGAGCTAACCTAATTTAACGGTAAACTGCCATTATAATCACTTTTTAAAGTATACTCAACATATGCAAAATGTAACGCCTCATCAAGCATTTTTTTTTAACATAAAGTAATAACGAACATTAATAACTTTACAAAACGATAAAATATGTAACTACTGATTAGGTAACTTAACGGTTATTCACCTGATGACAAAAACTAACTCTTAACTACGCGTTAAAAAAATATTTATAGTATACTTAGTATAAGTCCCGTACATTGTACGGTTTTTACAATATTTTATTACGAATTACAATGTTTAGTTATTAATATAATAATAAATTCTTAAAATGAATTACATTACTGCTGAACATAATAAAACTAACTTCATTATTACAATATATTATCTTTCAAAATAAAAAAATAAAAAATTTGATTTATTATTTAGGATTGCATATTTGTATCATATTTACAAAATGAGGTGCAATGTTAATAAAAGTATAGATTCTTACAACTTCATTTATTTTACTTTTCATCATTGTTGATGGGTTTATTCTTGAAAATAAAATACAAAAAACAACATATGCATATATTTAGACTAAAAAGAATAATTTAAAGTTTTATAGAAAATTACTACTTTAATACCTAATAAAAATGGTAAGAAGATATGAAAATATATATTGGTAGAACATATATGGAAGAAATTTGATGTCAAATATATATAGAAGTTAATATTTGGCTAAAAAAAAAGCTCTCAATCTGTAAGAATAAATATAGTCATGTGGGATCTAGTTTGATAGTCTTGGTGAGTATATTATTAATATCTAACTTTTATAATTTTTGCTAATATGAGATTAAAGATATTTGCGGTTTCAGAAGGGTAAAAACTTGTATCGATTTACGTAAACAGAAATATCATTATAAAACAGAGGGAGTGTTATTTAGTGTTTGATAGGATCGGAGGATGGTGCAGTGCCACCTAAAATAGGTTGATCTGTGCAAGATTTTAATTTGGTCTAATAGCGCATATTAATTAGAACATATACACGGTTACATGTAGTTCTACATGCAATTGGAGTGGTTTTAGTATTATCTTGTAAGAATGCACATGTAATGTATCGAACGGTTTGGTAATAAATAGAAGCATTTGTTTTTTTTTTTTTTTTTTTTTAATAAAAATAGAAGCACATACATATATAACATTATAAATTTATAATAAAAGCACAAATATATTTTAGAAGCACTTTGGTAATAAATAATAACATATCACATTGGTAATGAGTTGAAAAGCACATAAACAATAATAAAAAAATGAATAGCATAAACAACATTCGGCATCATTATAAAAGCACTTAATTATTTTTATCAAAAACAAACACATATTATACCAAAATAAAAGTATATATAATACATTGTTGTTTTACCCAGTTATTGCATGTAAATCTAGAGAGTTAAACACTTTATAAACATAAGAGAGTACTCCTCTTATATATTGTCATATGATTTTGGGATGAAATTCCTTGGACTTATGAAATGAGCTCTCTCTTGTTAATGGATGCAGTCCAAGCCTATAGTTAACACTTAGTCATGGACTTTTGACTAGTTTGTTGCATTGATTAGGAAAATACTTTGAGACGCTGTATTTCACTATTTTAGATTTACAATGGTCAAACAATGTTGCATGTAACGTTTAACTGACTAGGGAAATACTTTGAGACACTGTATTTTAAGTATCTAGAAATTTCTCTAAGCGAAACAAATATAATGTAAAAATTAAATCTAGCTCTCTTTCTTTCTTCCTCCTCATTTTGCTCTCCAGGATTTTTTCAGTTTCAATCTATTTTCAACCCCTTGTTTTGTTTGGTTCAGTTTTAATTTTGTCATAATTTGCTAATGAATTTACACTTTAGGACAATTATGACTTTGACTTTATGAGTGTTGTTTCTGTTTAAATAAATGTATTATAAGCGTAATAGTAAATAAAAATTTTGACTTATAAATGAATCAATTCAAATGTTAATAATTATAGAATACTTGTAATAAAAAAAATATTACAAGAACTAATAAGGAAGCCTTTTATTTTATCTAGTAAAATTCAAATTCGATAGTGGATTTTCGTAAATATAAAGCCTCATAAAAAATGTGACTCTTCATCAAGCAATATTTTTACATAAAGTAACAACATTAATAACTTTACATTAACAATAAAAATCAGCAATAACTTATAAGGTAATTTAATGATTTATTTTGTTGTGTCATAAACTCATAACTACACATTAAAAAAATAATTTAGTATATGTAGGGCTTGTTCTCTTCACCTTATTAAAATAAGTTTCAGGTTTAATAAGTTCAGATCAGTTCAGATAAGTTACAATAAGGTCCAATAAATTTTATAAGTTTAATAAGATCTAATATATTCCAATAAGTTAAATAATGTCTAATAAGTTCCAATAAGTGCAACAAGGTCTAATAAACTCCAATAAGTTCTAATCAAATATAATAACAAAGTCAATAAGGTTCAATAAGTTCTAATAAGTTCAATAAGGTCTAATAAGTTCGATAAGTACTAATAAGTTCATATAAAGTCAGTTAAGTTCTGATAAGATATGTTCAGATAAGGTGAAGAGAACACACCCCAAATGGGTCGGGTTGGGTTGGTGGGGTCGATTATGGCATTTTGGGCGACTAGGGTGAGTCGTTCACTCGTTTGTATGTTGGTCAACTTAATACGAAAAAAAAAAAAAAAAAAAAACTAAAATTTAAGGGCTTGAATGTTTGTTTATTATCGTTTAGTGTATAATTTGATTAATTCTTAAAAAGATTTAATTTTTTTAACAATTATTCGATCTTATATTTCTTGTTCAACTAATATTGGTGCATTGGAAATAATTAAATAAAATAAATAAAATTATTACTTCCTAGTAAAAACACTACCACACGGAAAAAAACATGCAAAATTGATTATACTCTTAAATTTAATGAGTTTCCCAATTTTCAAAGGGTATGTTACAAAATTATACGAAAAATTCTCATAGAGAACATCTCAACTAATTACATCAAAAGTTGGTGCTACATTTGTATGGACCAATCATTATTTTAGACAACTTAACTTGATATATTTGTATACTACAAATAGAAGAGATTTTTATTATTATTATTATTAATTAGTTGGATCTAGCGCCAGGAACATGATTTCCACGAGTGTCTCTACCTCCTGAAGGTCCAGATGAATGAGTTGGTTTCTTTCCTTTTCCCGCGGGGCTCAAATTAGCCATGATTCTATGCTTGTTAGCGCCATTGTGTACGTCGTTGTGGTTCGCGTTGATGCCGTTATCTTGATGGTGACTAGTTGCTTCACTAGCAATGATAGAGCAAACTAGAAATAATACCAAGAGAACAGCTTTGTTTCCCATGTTTGAAGATATTATGCTTGAATTAAAAGAGAGAGTTTTGCTTTATTATAACTATTATTGATCAAGTTTGTGGGAAGATGATTGTAAAAGGTGATTTGCATGTTAATTTATACATTAATGGCATTGCAAAATATAGAAGATTAAGATTGATTATAGGAAGGATTTTTTTATATAGCTAAATAATAAGAGGCATATGATGCATTGTAATTTATGCCCTCTTGAATATTAGTATGTAATTAATTATTATTAAACCTTAATTTTTACAATGCAAAAAAAAATTCAAATTGGTAAGATTTAGAGAAGGAAAGAATAGAAATACAGAGTACATCCTAATAAAAACATGAAACATCTATCTAAAAAAAAAAACTTGAATTTGATGTGTCTCCCATTTTTTAAAATAACAGCTCATAATTATTTTAAGGGTAACGATATATGTAGCATTTAGGATTACAAATAAACATTTACTGTAATATCTTTCTTAAATTGGTATTTAGTGTAATCAATGTTTAATTGGAATTGGTCATTTTGCTTGGGTAAGAAAAAACCAGTGATAGAACCATCCTTCTCTACCATTACTATATTGTTATTGTCGCCGCTGCCATCATTGTAGAGTCCTTGTTGAAGGCAAAATCACAAAGGCGGAGAGTTGCTCTGCTAGCAATAGTTGAGCAAGCTAGAAATAGTGCCATGAAAAGAACTTAAGATCTTAGGCTCTCAAGTTTGAATCCATCTGCATGCAGAAAAAAGTGAGAGGTCTGCTATATAATCACGATGCAAATTCTTGGGTAGATGGTTTGTGTACATCTGGTGGATTTTTCTAGTATAGTTTTGAAAGGTTAAGCAAGTGCAGTGACCATACTTCGGAGTAGGAATTTACTTAAACTTCCCACTCTATTCTCAAGCGTTGAACTCTTGGTATGATAACCATTGCCAATTTACCACAAAAGAGTGAAAGACCAATTATTATAACTAAGATAGTTCGTTTTCTTAAACACTGAATAATACCTAAGATAAACTACCTAGAAAAATAGACCTGGGATAATCAAGCCAACCTAAGCACTAGGATTCTAAATTCTCTGCCCACAGGCCACAATACATCTTTAAAAGACGAGTAAATAAAAAGAGTTTGCAACTTATATTTGGTCTTAATTCCAGGATAGACAGAACGGCGATAAAAATTAGACGAAATTTTGTTGCAGTAATGATGATGCTCCAGCCGACCTAACATTTCTACGAAATGTTGCTCCAGATTCCAGAAGGTGAAACAAACAATCAAGGAGACTTCAAAAACCATCCATCACAGAACAGAAGCAAGGCCAACCTTTTTAGGTTCTACTATTTTAATTTTTGGATTAGCATTGCGTGATACATCCACCAGAGCCTTGAAGCTGTAGGGCTCGTGCATGGCCAGTTCTGACAAGACCTTCCTGTTTAGCTGTATGTTTTCCTTCATCAGCCCACACATGAAGTTACCATAGTTTACCTGCAGCCAAAAGAATAGGAATATTTACTAATGTAGAATACTTTAAGACACCTCAGATGACAAGTCTAACAATAAATACATCATACACTGAAAGAGTATCACTCAAAAGTGTTCCTGCACATTGACAGCACTCCAAAACAAAAATACATGTACTACAATGCCTCTACAGATGATCCTAATTTTGGCATGGCCAAAGGGGTCGAACATACCTTAAACCAGTACGCATTGATTGCTAGAGACCCAGGCGCAATGATAGCTTCACACTTTAATGAAAGAGAGACCAAGACTATTTGTTGAGCCTTTCTATTTTAGTTCATTATAAATTTATAATCCAAATGTTGGAGAACAGTGTTTCTTTGACTTCATTCCATTAACCCCAAAAAACACTTTTTTTTTAAGATAATATACAGATCTACCCAATAGTTACTCGTGGTATTGTAGATTCAACCCCCCCCCTCCTTTTTTTTTTCCAAAAAAGTACTAACTCCAGATCTCTGTTACTACAATTTCCAGCCATTATTTTGATTTCCAAAAACAACTTTGTGCAAGCGAAACCAACTGGAATAATTGATGCCTGTAAATGTGACACAGCAAAAGGATAGCCGACTAGCATTATATAGCAAAATTTTACCAAAACCAGTCTCCAAAAGCACAGCAAAGTTAGCCTCAACAAAAACTCATTCTCACCAAGATGAACATCACCCCTCACATTTTATTCTAGATATAGGACGTTAGGACGGGAGCTCCACACAAATTTGATGAAGAAATAATGACAATCACATCCAACGTAAGGCTCTTTCTGTAGAATGAACACCGCCTAGTGCCTGGGGTTGTCTGATACGAAGATTTGATTTCCCTTGATTACCTTAAAATCTTTAATAGAGGTTGTGGCGCCATATCTCTTATTACAACACTGTAATTTATCTCTCTGCGTTAGCTTACACAACCAGTGGAGCGTCCTCAATCTATCACCATTAACTTAAAGACATTCATTAGGAACAATTTCACATTTTCTCCCAGAAAAAAGATAAAAGATCCAGATTCATTCAAGAAAATAATCTATTAGTGAGGGAAAGTGTCCTTCAAGTCTTCAACCCTAGTAAACTTATCTGCAAAAATTTCATCTACAATATTGTTTAGGAGGAAACAACAAAGATTGTTGTGCAGTAGAATGCTTCACTTATAGGTAATACTGTTCATCAGTACAAAACCAAAATAAAAGCTTCCCTCCCAATATGTTGGATGAACGCAACTAACATGTACACAGCACTATCTACCCTAGTTAACTGTTGGACCACACCATTCAGTAGCAAAATCAAGCAGCAGGCAATACAAATTTAGTCAAAACCAAATAATTCATGCTCCTCCACAGGTTATAGGATTTCTGAAGTAAAAGTTTATCAAAATTTCAGAAGATTAGTATTAAAAACAGTTGCTATTGATTTTACTCCCCAATATACGATGTGATTCTTCAGAGAAGATCAAAACCCAAAATGATTTAACTCAACTCAGACCATGACTTCCTAAAGTTAGAACTCAAAAATGATCAACTTTCAAAGATGGAACAACAGTTCCATAAAAAAAAAATCACTTTCATCTTAGGTTATTGGTTTTTAAGCTCATTAACCAATATAACTGACAAAGAACAAACCTTGAACATTTCAGATTTTCTCAGCCCCAAGGTATAATTTTTGGAGCTTAGGTAGTGATTTCAAAATAATACTCTCAAGTTCACACAGGCTACAATTTTAAATCATTAATACAAGCATAGATATAAATCATATAATCAAACTTTATAATCAAATAAATATTGGAGACATAAGTAATACTTACGCCATGTTGTCGGGCACCAGCATTGATGCGTTCAATCCAAAGAGAGCGCATATCACGCTTCTTGTTGCGGCGATCCCTGTAAGAGTACTGAAGCGCCTTCTCCACTCTCTCTCTAGCTATCCTTATGCAATTCTTTGCTCTGCCTCTAAACCCCTTTGCTAGTTTGAATATCTTCTTCTTGTTCATTTTTGTTTCTCTTGGGCAACAGAGATGATTTTGCTCTGTTTGCAGAACAAGAAGCTTGTCACTATTTTATCATCACAACGAATAAACAATTATTGCAGCAACACCAACGAAATTACAGCAGCTAAAAAAGCAGCCTGTTTCAACAGCAAAAAGCTGCAGCAACGACAAAAATCACAAGCATACAACAGTAGTACCAACAGCACAACAAACCAACAAGCAACAACAGCAGCAGACATGAGCAGCTTTAAACAATCACATGGCGAAGATAAAGCATGCTAAACATTTACATCTATTGGAAAGAAGCGGGGCTAATTCGCCTGATTAACTGAGTGTACCCTAAGGCCTAAGCTGCATCAGGAGCCTTAGGACCAGAACAAGACAGCCATCAGCGACGAGTTAAGAATTAAGTCATTACTAATAAGTAATGAAAAATGAAGTGCAGAAATTTAGCCTAGCTGAATGATCACTAGAGAGCAACTAATAGAGCTCTGGAACTAGAACCTATGACTTAAGTTTAGACGGTCGAAATAAAGCATACTGTTTGGCAAAAGTGCCAAAAGCGCCAGAAAATCACCTCAAAAACCTAATCACGGGGTTTAAGCTAGAAAAGGTTTGCACCACCTCGCCTACGAGTGGCTAGCAATGAATTCATTTATAGCAATGATTCAAAAGAATGAACACCTCAAAAATGCCATTGAATATCTGAAAGGCGCAGAATCAGCTCATGATACACAGAACATGATACCGCAACCGCGAAAATCCTACATTCTTACTTAGTAATTTGTAAATGAGGGAGAAGAGGTCTAATTTCATAGTTTAATACTAACATTAAAGGGTTCTGCAATACATTAGCAACCAAATTTGATTCAATTATCAAATAATTAGGGATATTTGATTCAATTATCAATTAGGCTTGCAATTTTGTTTTCTAACAACATAATCGCGGTTATAATCTTTCATAATCTTAGTAATAAGAACCAATAGTTCAGATTTTCGAACCCTAAACTTACTACACTGACAATTAAATTAAAGTAAACCCTAGATTGTGAAATTGATATGATGATTACAAAAAGAAACAACAAATTACCTCAGAAGCTGCTTCAATGGGGGATACAGGTATTAGAAGGCGCCTCAATGAAGAACGTCAAGTGCGCTGCAAGATACCAGATCTATAATACCGAAAAGAAGAAGGAAGCAGGGAAAAACAGAATTATAAGAGAGAGAAGAAGAATTAGAGCTGTAATCAGGGCTGTATTAATCCGGTCAGAGTAACCTCTAATACAAGCAAGCTTTCATTCGAGAGGAAAGCACTCTCCTAATTACTCAGCTCAATTTTCTGCATGCCCTTCTAATGATCACCATTAGGCCTTTATATAGCCTTATTAGCATAACAAACTCTAGACACCTCAGCAAACCCCTTAACAGAATAATATTCTGTTATACAATAATGACTATTAAGCCCCCCAACAAACTCATTATTACAATTATCAGAATGCTAATAACAGAAAGCTTTTAACAAACTCAACAACCAACTCAAGCATCAAATAATTCCCTTCTTGCGTCTCACGTATGTAGCTATGATAGGAGGCTTATTTCCATTCCTAGCAATACCCCCTGCGACAAGATTCACCTTGTCCTCAAGGTGGAAGGAGCGAAAGCGATCCTGAATCTCAGTGTAGGACTCCCAAGTGGCCTCATATTCATCCAAGCTCTTCCACTTAATGAGAACTTCCAGCAAGGTATGAGATCCCTGTTGTCTATTCCTCACCCCCAAAACGGCCTCGGGCTCAACTTCTAGAACTAACTCCGCTGTGAGTTGAGGAGGCAAGGGAGTGGGGGTGAAGTGCTGGCCATGGGCTTTTTTGAGCTGTGAAATATGAAAGACCGGATGGATCTTAGCCCCAGCCGGGAGGTCCAGTTTGTAAGCCACAATCCTACCTGTTGGACCACCTTATAAGGACCAAAGAAGCGAGGGGAAAGTTTCTGATATCCTCTTTTTGCCACTGAATTCTGTCTGTATGGCTGTAGCTTCAAAAACACCCACTCACCAATGTCAAACCGTCCATCTCTGCGTTTCTTATTCTCACAAGTCCTCATATAATCCTGGGCCTTAAGTAAGTGGAACTTGAGATCATCCAAGATGGCATCACGATCCAATAACTGTTCTTCCACAGAAGAAACAGAGGTACTTCCCGGGATGAACCTCACCAAACGTGGTGGATCCCTACCATATAAAACTTTGAATGGAGTTTGAAGAGTAGAAGTGTGGAATGAGGTGTTATACCAATATTCTGCCCAGGGAATCCACGACGACCAGGACTTAGGTTTCCCATTGACAAAACACCGTAAATATGACTCAACCCCCTTATTGATCACCTCGGTCTGTCCATCGGACTGAGGGTGGTAAGCGGTGCTCCTGGCAAGCTGAGTGCCTTGCAACCTATACAGCTCTGCCCAAAACGTACTAACAAAAATTTTATCTCTGTCAGACACAATGGAACTTGGTATACTGTGGAGCCGTACCACCTCTTTAACAAAAGACTGAGCAACTGTCGGAGCTGTGACTGGATGTTTTAGGAGAATAAAATGTGCATAATTCGACAGCTTATCGACCACAACCAGTATGGTATCCCAGCCATTGGACTTCGGAAGTCCCTCAATAAAATCCATCGAAACGTCCTCCCAAACCTTGTAGGGGCTGAAGCGGGCCTAGGGGGCTAACAGTGGAGGCCTTGTTTCTTTGACAGACCATGCAGGCCTTCACATATTCCATCACATCCTTGCGCATGCCAACCCAAAACCATTCGGCAGCCAAACGTTGGTATGTTTTGTATTCTCCAGAATTTCCGCCAACTGGTGAGTCATGGTATTCTCGTAGGAGAGCCGAAGTAAACTCAGAATGTTTGGGTATAACGATCCGACCTTTATACTTGAGGATCCCACCCTCCAAAGCGAACCATTTCAAAGTATTACTGCCTTGCTTTTAGTTGAGCATCAGCTTGGATATGAAAGGATCGTTCTGTATAAGAGCCTAGACTTGTGGCCATTGAAACCCGCAAGTAGTAACCATGGTGGAGCAAGAAATTGCAGGTCCATGTTCCCGGGACAGAGCATCAGCCACTATATTACTGCTGCCCGATTTATAGTGGATCTCAAATGAATAGCCCAGCAATTTGCCCACCCATTCACCTCACGCTGCTCCAGCAAATATTTCAAACTTTTCTGATCGGTGCGGACCACAAACGTTCTTCCCAGGAGGTAATGGCGCCATTTTTCTACTGCCAGCACAATTGCCATTAACTCCTTTTCATAAATATGCTTCTCCTGTGCTCTGCTTCCCAACAATTTGCTGAAGTAGGCTATTGGATGGCCCAACTGCAAGAGAACAGCCCCAACCCCATGGCCACAAGCATCTGTTTCCAGAATAAAGTCTTCTGAAAAATTGGGCATGGCTAGAACTGGGGCCTGTGTCATAGCTTTTTTGAGGACCTGGAAAGCAGAAGTAGCCTCGGCATTCCAGCCAAAGCTATCCTTCTTCAACTGGTCTGTAAGGGGGTGAGTAATTTGAGCGTAATGTTGGATGAACTTTCGGTAGTATCCAGTTAACCCCAAAAATCCTCTTAGCTCCTTCAAATTCCGTGGTTGTGGCCACTCCATCATCGCTTTTATCTTCTCCTAATCAACTTCGACCCCTTGCCCAGAGATAACGTGCCCTAGGTAGGCCACCTTTTCCTGGCCAAACTCACATTTCTTTCTGTTAGTGTATAGCTGATGCTCCTGTAACACCTCAAACACTTTTGATAGATGGTGGCAATGTTCATCAACAGTCTTGCTGTAAATTAACACATCGTCAAAAAACACCAAAGTAAAAAAAACTTCCTCAAATAAGGTCTGAATACCGTATTCATCAAGCTCTAGAAATTTGTGAGCATTGGTGAGACCAAACAGCATCACTAGAAATTCGTAGTGGCCATCATGTGTTCGGAAGGCTGTTTTCGGAACATCACACTCCTTCACTCTAATCTGGTGATACCCAGATTTTAAGTCCAATTTTGAAAACACCTTGGCCCCATGGAGTTCATCCAAAAGCTCATCAATGGTTGGGATTGTGAACTTATCAGGAATTGTACTCTTATTCAGTGCTCGGTAGTCGACACAGAACCGCCATGAACCATCCTTCTTTTTGACCAAGAGGACTGGCTGGAATACGGACTGGTTGACGGTTGTATAATCCCAGCCTTTAACATATCAGCCACCAGGTTCTCGATTTCTGGGGGTACCGATATGACCGGACACTGATGGGGTCAGTCCCTTCCCTAAGCACTATTGCATGCTCAATAACCCTGCGTGGAGGCAAGTCGTGTGGCATTTCAAAAGTGTGCTGAAATTTTTGTAAAATCTCAACTATGCTGGCAGGAACAGTCGACTTCCCCACCTCTATGGGCTAACCTTCCAAAAGGAGGTTTAATTCCAACAGAAATCCACTTCCCTCCTTCTGTATTGACCGAAACATTGCTTTGAGGGATATCCCCGTTCGTCCCAAAGAAGGATCCCCCCGTAAAACCACACCCTCGTTTCCGAGCTGGAACTTCATTACTTGCGTCTTCCAATTGGTGGAAATAGTTCCCAATTTTTCCAACCACTGGATTCCCAAAATTAAATCAGAGTTACCCAATGGTAAGACAAGGAAGTCCTCACGTCAATCCCTGCAAGTGGAGCACTACACCTTTACATTCACCAGTACCTTGAATCGCCTCTCCATTTCCCAGCGTCACGCCGAACTCGCCATCTCTAGAAATCGAGAATCCTAGATAATCGGCAGCCTTGGTAGACAAGAAATTATGGGTGGTGCCGGAATCCACCATAACCACAATTTCCTTGCCATTAACCGACCCCCGGAGCCTCATTGTTCTGGAATTTGTCAATCCCATGACCGAATTGAGAGAGACGGCAGGTGTTTCTAGTGGTAGCTCTGGAATTACCTCCACCTGCTGCATGTCAGCCTCCACTGTACCTCCTACCTCCTCTTCATCCATCTCCTCATCTACTGTCAACAGCACGCTCAACTCTCGCCGTTTACAACGGTGATTTCTGTTCCATTTTTCATCGCACCTGAAACAGAGCCCTTGCTCTCTTTTCAGTTTGAGTACAGCTTCACTCAACCTCCTTATTTCTCCATTGTTAGGGTAAGTAATCGATTTTGTTTGTAGAAGAGCTGGGTGGGTTGTGTTTGTGGGTCGTGGGCTATTTGAAGAAGTGTTTGAGAGGGAATGGGTTAAGTATTGTTTGGGCTGGTAGGGGAGGGTGATTTTGTAGTTATTATTTTTTTGGGTTTTAAAATCTGAGTTGGACCTAGGCCCAAATCTCATTTTCTCCTCAGCAGAAATGGCTAACTCCATTGCATCATCAAGATCCCTGGGTTTCAACATTCTCACCTCAGACCTCACATCACCATTGAGACCCGTCATGTAGTTACTGAGAGCAACAATTTCGGCCACCAATTCTAGCGGAGCCATCAGCTCAATAAACCAGCGGTTATATTCAGCCACCGACATCGTCGCAACGCCATCCATTGTTCGTACAGCCCTCCCTCCTCATGTGGTCGGAATTTTCGAAGGATAAGGGTTTTCAGTTCATCCCACCGGCGAATTCGGCGACGCCGGTATTCATACTGAAACCACAAAAGAGCGTCTCTGTCAAGAGCTACCACCGCCGCTTCAAGACTGTCACCTTCACTTAATCGGTAAAAATGGAAGTATCTCTCGGCACGGAGGATGCAACCGTCGGGATTGGTACCATCAAACGACGGTAAGTCTAGCTTCTTTGACCGCCACCCAACTCCGGTGCCCAGCACTCCCTCAGTCTCTAGATCGCCATTCGGAGGAGGAATTCGAGGAGACCCTATTCCGTCGAACGGGCCATTAGTCTCCCCCATTCCACTGTGCACGGTGGTCAGCTTGGTCGAAAGAAGTTCCCCCAACTTTACGGGCCATTGAGAGCACCTCCGTGTGCAACTGCTGCACCGTTTTCTCCATCGCACCAGCAGCGGCCTGGTTTTGCTGAGCTAGTTCCTTACGGATTGTCTCGACAGCAGAGGTTATGGCCTGAGCGATTTTCGAGTCAACAGACCCGACTTCGGTTTCCAAGGATTCAATGCGCTGTGCGTTTGTGCGGGAAGCCATGGTCAGATTCGGTGGCTCTGATACCAAAAATGCAAGATACCAGATCTATAATACCGAAAAGAAGAAGAAGGAAGCAGGGAAAAACAGAATTATAAGAGAGAGAAGAAGAATTAGAGCTGTAATCAGGGTTGTATTAATTCGGTCAGAGTAACCTCTAATACAAGCAAGCTTTCATTCGAGAGGAAATCACTCTCCTAATTACTCAGTTCAATTTTCTGCATGCCCTTCTAATGATCACCATTAGGCCTTTATATAGCCTTATTAGCATAACAAACTCTAGACACCTCAGCAAACCCATTAACAGAATAATATTCTGTTATACAGTAATGACTATTAAGCCCCCCAACAAACTCATTATTACAATTATCAGAATGCTAATAACAGAAAGCTTTTAACAAACTCAACAACCAACTCAAGCATCAAATAATTCCCTTCTTGCATCTCACGTATGTAGCTATGATAGGAGGCTTATTTCCATCCCTAGCATGCGCTTCAATAGAGAACGAACTGAGAAAAAGAGGAGGAAGAGGATTCAATGGGTTGGAGGCTTTGGAGCCCCATTAAAAGCCCTGACCCGCCCCAGGTATAAATGGGTCAGATCCGTCCAGTTAATATATAAACGGATCTTTATAGAGTCGTCCAATTATAAACGATAAATAAATGGGGCATGGCGAACCCCATAAGTGGTCGTTTAGTTCACTAAGCTGTAATGGATTGGTATGGATTCCCATACTTGGGTGGTATGGATTCTATATCTCATACCAATCTAAAGTTGTTTGGTTTAATCATGGAATGGATTCTTATACTCGAGTAATAGTATAGATTATGAATCCTTAGAGGGAAGGTGGGTATGAGATTCCAATAGAATGGGATGGAGTTAGAATCCCCAAGGTATGAGATTCCATACTTAAATAGCCAAATCAAACAAATAAAACCATGGAATGGATTCTAAATCTCATTCCAACAAGTTCAACCAAACAACCCCTAAGAGTTTGGAAATGAAAAAAAAGTATCTATTGCGAATTTGCAATGTATTAATTTTCCTTCTACTATTTCAGTTTCTTAAAATATTATTTCCACACACTAAGGATCTGTTCCGATTTACTGAAAACAATCGAACTGAATTGATTGGGGCTAAACTGAACTAAACTGATTAGGGCTGAACTCAGTGGCGGAGCTAGGATTTTCAACTTGGGGGGACAAAAAGCTTTAACTTGACAAAAAGCTTAACAAAAACAAAAAAAAAAACAAAAAAAAAAAACTCAAACACACAAATTGGTTAATACCTAATATTAAAATTTGACTCATTTTCATTGAGTTTCGGTCTTTTAAACAAGAATTGTCGAAGACTGAGTTGTTTACTAGTTGCCTTGGATTTGTTTGAATTAGGTGAATCTTTTTACATTTCCTAATTAAATTGAAAAATATTTATCAATTTCCACAATCCACAATTCCACATCATTACATAATAATAAAACCTAAAATTCTAAATTTCTAATTCAACTATACATTTCAATAAATTCACAAAAACAGGAGAAAAAAATGCAATCAAAAGTTCACAAAATTAACTATACATTTCATTATTTCAATAAATTCACAAAAACAGAAGAAAAAACAAGTAATAAACCAATTAACCAACAGATTTCAATAAGACAATAAACCAACACATTTCAAAATTTCAATAGTTCAATACTTCGAATCTTCAATACCCAGAATAATTGAACAAAAGTATAAACTATAAAACAATTAAACAAGTAATAAACTAATAATTCAGAGATTAAATTCAGATTTACATACTGTAAATTGGGTCTAGCGATTTAGCGAAGTGAGCGAAGTCGAATGGAGAGCAGCGAGTCCAGCGACGAGCCGACGAACGGACGAAGCAGTGAATCAAGAAGCAGCGACGGCGGAGACTCGACGGACGGAGGGACGGAGTGCCGGGAGTGGAGCCGACGAGCGAGAGCGGCGGACTGGCAGAGGATTTTCGAACTTCGAAGAGAGAGGAAAGAGGAAAGTTAGGTTTCAGAGTTCAGTTTTCTTTTCTTCCTTCTTTCTGGCTTTCTGGCTTTCAGAGTTCACCATTTTTTTTCTTTTTTTTTACTTTTTTTTTTTAATTTTTTTTTTAAAAATTGCCCAATGTCACTTAATTTAATCTTCCCCCGCTGAACTGAACGAAACTGTTTATGAGAGAAGGAAATTAGGAATTGAACTGATTGGAGTTGAGCTGAACTGGACTAAAATTAAGATGAACAGAACAAGCCCTAAGTTTGGCAAAAATTGACACGACCTAAAGTCGACCAAAAAAATATAGTGAATTTGGGTTGAATTTCCTACCCGATTTATGAAATGGGTTGACACGAACGAAACCTTTCAAATTAAATAGGTTAGGTTAAGGTTGAGAATTTCGACTCGAAAATGACCTATATAACTCGAAATATTATATAAAGTCAAGTTAAATCAAACCCTATTTAATAACTCGAACTAAAGACAACTTAATTAATACCATTTTGACCCATATACACCCATCGAACTACCTTTATATATAAATTATCTCATTCCAACTATCCTCAAAATTAGTCACATTCCAACTACTCATTTTTCATTCTTTCTTCCTCTCTATTTATGCAAAGGCTGTAATTTAGTTAATGTGTGTGTATTTTTTTTTTTAATCCACACTACTCTATGGATTCAAGTCAATCGAAAAAAGGATAAGCCAAATGGGTTCAAGTTGACCCGTTTATAATTAAAATATGGGTTAAACGAGTCAACCCGAATCCGACCCGAAATTAAACCGATTAGGTTATGGTTGAAAAATTAAATTCAAAAACGGATCGGATTGGATAGGGGGATAGTAAACCCAATTAAAGTTGACTCAAACACAAACCCAACCAAACTTGATTGCCAGCCCTACACACACCAATGAGGGCAATGTTAAGAGTCAAACGACTCCATCGTCATCCTCCAATCAAACCTAAATTCAGCTTGTTTTTGGTTTTCAATCTATTATAATGAGCGTTTTGAAATTTAAAATTTTTTTTTTTTTGGGTGATGAAATATGAGAATTGATTACCTTAATTTAAATTAGGATACTGGTTCAGGAATGGAGAATAAGTTAACGCAATTTCTATCATGGATTTTTTTTTTAAAAAAAAAAAAAAAAGGAAAAAGGTATGGGAAAACTATATACGAAGTTCACTTGTTATATTTGATGTTTACCACATTTTATTAACGTGTATACACTATCTTATTAGCCATCTCCCCTTTCTTTGATAGGGCATACTCCGTAGTAAATTAGTTACATGCAATAATTTGAAATTAACGCAATGAATACAAGTTGCTTAACATTGTTATTGAGAATTTCCTCACAAGGGAAAATGAAAGGTAAGATCTTTTCCTTTTCCTTCGAAAATGTAAAAACCTTCACCCACAGGGAAACTACTTTCAAGGTAATATGAAGTTATTAACCCTAAGCAACATTTTCAAGAGGACAAAGATTAGAGCAGCTGAGTAAGGGTTAATTGTAATCTCCCTCTAGGCCTCTATTCTGTCTTCAAAACAATCACTTGGCATTGAAAATCAAATAACAAAAACTTTTGGATCGCCAGCAGAGAGGTGCAGAGCAAACCACACAATATAGCAGAATGTGTAATGTTGAAGAAGTGAAAGCTAGTTAAGTTCATAATGCACGCTTCATATGCTAAGGAATAAGAATTTCATACTCAGCAGACATTTAACGACTCCTCACTCATTAATGGTAAATTGGCAATCGTTCAAAAACCAACACAGTAAAAATTTTAATTCAATTCCCATGTTTTTTAGAGCTAAATGAGCACACTACTACAACTAAAATTTTAGAATAAAAATTGAACTCCTCGTAGATCACTTCTTCTTCTCGGTACCACCAGCAGACCTGCCAAAACATCAAATTAAATATGGTTAATCAAAAGGCAGTGATAATATGATACTCTCCTAGTCAATGGTAAGCTATCAACTAAATGAGAATATTGATTAAACAGTGTAAAATACCTCATCTTCCTGAGAACATTTGACATCTCCTCTCTCTTCCTCTTTGCCCTCTTGTGAGTTCCGAGCTTTCTCTTGGCCAACTTCAGTGCCCGCTTGTCCTTACCAACCTTCAACAGCTCAGTGATTCTCTTCTCATATGGAGCGAATCCAGCAACCTCTCGGATGATACTCCTTACAAAGAGTACCCTCTTGCTAGTTTTCTGCAAAGCAAAAACATGACACTTATATGAGTCACAGACATGATAAACATAACAAAGGTATAGAACATTGAAACATTTTATTCATAATGGAATATTAAGGTGAATAGCATACCCCTGTTCTGTCTGATGGCCTTGGAGCCAATTCCTTCTTGGTGACGATGTGACCCTTGTTAAGGCCAACAATAAGACCGGTGTTTGGTGGTTTCGGAGCCATTACCTGAAAAGAAACCGCGCAAAACATACAATCAGAACATAAGCGAAACTTGACAAGAATCAAGACTACCAAATCAACAGTTGAATTAAGAAGCATACAAATTCTGCTGGATCAAAAAAAAAAAAAACAATTCATCAAGCTAAAACCATACAAAATTGTAGAGCAATGAGTGCTAGTCCTCCAGCCAACCCTTAACCATCACACATCATATGATACTTAAGAACACAGGCAAAAAACATGCTCAATGGATCAATGTATCAGTCGGGAATGCCAAATACGATATTAGAGAGATCAGTTTAATAATTTTAAAACAACAGCAGCAGCAACAACGACTTAGTCCCAAAATGATTTGGGGTCTGCATAAATCGATTGAATAGAGCATAGCAAGATAATCGATTGAATAGAAGCGGGAAACAAGTATTTATGTAGATCAATCCCTCCACCCGAAACATCACCCTAATGACATAGAAGCACAATTATCGACCTATTAAAAGTTCTCCACATTCATCACTCCAACAATATGCCATTGAAAATTTCCACATTCATAATAAAACATTCAGATTTTCCACATTCCCTTCTCCTCCACAGCTAAACAAGCACACTTTTTCACTTCTACGATTTTACCAATAAACCCCCTATCATATCAATTATTAAAATCACCCAATAAAGCACTAATTACATAGTTGCATCGTTAGTTCTACCGCTAATTAATTAAGCTAAAATAATACAGCATCAAAGTTATGAACGGTTCGAAATTAAACAACGAAACAATTTACAAAAAAAAAAAAAAAAACAAGCAAAATATTAAGATGTGATGTAATATTAAACTAGTACAACCAAATAATAATTCATAAAAATGTAGTGCATTCATACAATTAATCAATTTTAAACAAACATCAAATAGAATTTGAAATAAACAAGATGATTTACGAGTGATATTAAAATAAAATGGAAAAGAATAATTTAATTTTTAAAACAAAATAGGATTACCTGGAGAACGAAGGGTTTCGGGATGAAGTGAGGAATGGAAATGAGGAAGAAGAAGAAAGAGAGTAGAGGCAACTGCGAGTGGTTTTGATATTGTTAGGGTTTTTCTCTCAACCGTTGGATTGGTTTCTTTATCCAACGGTTATGATGGCTTTATTATATGGTGGTGTAGGGTTGTTTTATTGACTTTTGAATATTTGGGCTTTTGGGTTAATTGATTAATCGTAGATGGGTAGGGTCTAGTAAGCTAAAAAGCCCTTGGGCTATGAGTCTTACTACTTTTCATACTAATATAATATCTCCGCTTCATATTATTTGCAATAATTAGACACTTATCACTTACACTTTGTGTTTAATCGTTGTAAATAATATAAAATAGAGGTGGTAACTTGAATGTTTGATCAATTCATAATCGATAAAAGAAAATTTAAATTTAAAGTGGCAAATTTATAATTTTATCGCATAATGTAGCACTATGCTTATGTTAAACCATTTATACTAGTAGCGATCTAAGAACCATTATTGGTGCTAATGATGTAAGTAATTGTATCCAAAATTTTACAAACTTGCCCTTTGATTTGCATATTTCATTTATCAAATTCTCATCATTTTACTAAAGGGTTACGATTAACAAATGAAAATAAAAATTACTCACTCCTTTTTTGTTTAAGTGCTCCAAGTTTAACTTTAAAACTATTCACACGAATCACTTTAACTAGTATTTGTGCTTTATACATAAGATTAATCATATGTGAAAACTTGTTCGAATTGTCTCAATATAAAGTTTTCAAATGCTATCTTTTAAAAATTTATATCTACTGCGTATTAAGAATTAAAGATATTATTAGTCAAAATTTTACACTAATAAATATATCAGTCAAAGTGAGACACTTAAGCAAAATATAAGGAGTATGAAGTATTCAATTAATTTGACGCGGAGAAGATATTAGGCCCAGGTGAAAGGAGAGCTTTTATCAACCTACATTGGTTGGGCCATGTTTTTGGATGTGAAGTGGCTTAGATACACCTTTTCTCTATCCATACATTGCCCTGCATTTTCTGCTATTTCAATTTCGGTAATTTTTTTTTTTTGGCCCAAAGTATGAAATGGACTGATTTATGGTCACCTCTATGGCTCAATTAAAAATTCAAAATGTTAAATTACTCAAAGTTTTGTGAATTTGATTGATACAAAAATAATTATATAGCTAATTGGCTACTAAGTGGAGACACCTGGTTGTGTCTCCCTAAAAACCAAGCCCAGTGATGATTATCTTTCATATCTTTGATTATCGAGTTAGGTAAAGAGTTGAAGAGTCTCGTGAATTTTCCTTAAGCCTTGACCTCACCCCTAACCTTTCCTTAAATGTTTTAGACCAAAATTATTTATTTCGTGCCCTTAAACCCAAAATCATTCATTTCGTGTCCTCTTTATAAAACGTCCAAACCAATTTATTTTGGCCCATAGTCTGGGTCCAATAATTGTGTAGTTGGATGGGGTTTGAAAAGAGCTTTCCAACGATATATTATAAGCCAAATCCGAGTTATAACGAAGTATTAATGATCAAAATACTAAACTGGGCCTAAACCGAGCCTTACTTACGACCCAATGACCATGTGAAGGGTCCATTAACCTTAACATCATTCCTAAACCACTTAGGATTTATTATGAGTTTCTAGAATCCTCTAGAAGGTTGTTTTCATTCCTAAATCCCTTAGGATTAATTATTAGCTTCTAGAATCTTCTAGAAGATTCTAGTTTATCTTGTTTTTGAAAAAGATAAAGATTTAACAATTTTACATTGGATAAAACACTTGTTTTTCAATGATTTTAATTCAGATACATTAGAATACGTACGAATATTCGATTAACCCAATTTGATTGGAAGTCTAAATCCGTACGGATTCTATCTTCTAAAAATATCGCTGAGCAATAGAAATATCACGTCACGATAAGCCTATTGCGTTGCGATAGAAATATCGCGTCGCGATAGCGCCTTTTGACTCCGAGTCAAATTTTGACTCTTTTCTGATCCTTCGACCCCTCGTTTTCCCCTATAAATAGAGGTCGTTTTCCTCCGTTTTCAATCATCAACAAGCTTGGTCACCAACAATCATCTTCTAATCCTCTCTCTAAGCTATAAGCTTATTTTCTCTCTCTCTCTCTCTCTCTCTCTCTCTCTCTCTCTCTCTCTTTCTTTCTTAACCTAGCCTAAACACATCCCAACACCTTCTTGATATCATACACCATACTTTCTTCGCGAGCCTTGAATATTTCAAGCTAATCTCGAAGTTGCCTTCGACCTCGACGTGAAAGGTTGGTAGTTCTGAGAGTTTGGTCCCAAATCTATATTTCAATTCTTATTTGATTTAATCTTTCTTGAAGTTTACTAACGTGTGTATTGTTTTGATAGAAAGAAATATAAGGCATCAAAGTAAGTAATTCGATTACTTATTTATTCCTTTGATATAGAAATCATATTTAGAATATTATTTTAATTTTCTAGTATCATGTTAGGATGCTTTTGCGATTTCTAGTATCATGTTAGGATGCTTTTGTGATTTTTTAGTATCATGTTTAGGCTTACGCTTTGATCTTTATTGTTAGTGACATGCTAGGGTTTGTTATTAATCTGTTTAGTATCATGCCTAGGATCTTGCTAATAATTATGTTTTGATGATTATTGTTATGATGATGATGGTTGTGTCAATTAATCGTATTTTGCTTGATGGTTTATTGTTGTTGCTTGATTACGCCCTTTCTTGCAGGTTTAAAGGGAATTTGTACTTGAAATCACGCCTAATAAGATAATTAATAATTTGTTCTAGGCCTAATATGATTTTAGTTCAAGTGATCACCAATAATAAGATTTTATTGTGCTTTAATAATCAACCAACATAGATTTAACAGGTTTAGAGCTAATTTGATGTATGTATGTTGATCGGAAAGCGCACATGAATATCATAAGAATTAAGTAGAGGCCGATTTAGGGCGGGTTCAATCTCTTTTAGGTTGGATTCGTACCATCATCCCCGAATATCCAATCATGGTTCCGGACCATTATGAAGTTAGCAATCTCTGTGATCGTGAATGGGGTGTAACCTTCGCACCCGTGAACGGTTTACAAATTCCTAAAACTTGTTGTCGACTCTTTTATCTCTAGCTTCCTTCCCTTTGGACGCCACTATGCTTAAAGGCATGATCACAGTGGGGCTCAAAGTTGATGTTTGAAATATTCCCTACACCAAGCAATATCTATTTCGAGATTAAACAATTTGATAGGTTTATGACATATTTTTACTTATAGCCTTATAGGCAGTATATGTAAGGTCATATTGAACTTGTCCCCACCACATACGAGTAATATTGAATTATATATGAAGGATCAAGATCAAAATTAAGAGATTAATCCATCACCACATACGAGTAGTTGTAATTTGGCAAATTCACTCTTTTCGTTTTCTCTTTCTAGCTTTTGCTCTGTTCTCTCTCCTCAATTCTAAAACACCACCTTCTCCTAAAAACCCTAAGAACTCGCTGGAGTTCCGGCGCCGCATCCATACTCCGGCAAGTCTCTTCCTCTTCTTTCTTATTCTTCTCTTTTCTTTTGCTTGTCTTCTCCTTTCTTTTTAATTTCCCCTTCCTGTTTTGGGCGTCTTCCTCACACTCTAAAAGTCGACGACGCCATCACCTTCTTTCTTCAGGATCTTTTAATCCTAAATTGAGGTGATTGTGTGAGCCTATCCTAGTTCACGAACGTTTCGAGGGGAGTTTTCAGATCGTCAAACTCAGACGCCTTTTCCCACCTTAGCGTGGAAGGTTATTGTTCGTTCAAAGGGTTTCACCGCCGGTGAAACAAGGCCTTGAAACAAGGCCTAAGGACTAGGCCTAACGCCGCCGTCAAAGGTCATCGGTAATTTTGACCGTGACGGAAACAGTAAAGTTAGGGTTAGGGTTTCGTGGGTCCTTGCGCTGGAGGGCTAGGCCTAACGCCGCCGTCAAGAGAAGTTCGTGACAGAAACGGTGAAGTTAGGGCTAGGGTTTTGAGGTTCTTTGTGTTTGTGGTTTCGGGTTTCTCAGTTTGGACGGTGCTCTTCTCTGGTTTGTTCTCTTTCCTAAGTATGTTTTTTCTTGGTAATTATCAAAGTTTACTTGTCTTAGTTTGTTTTATGGTGTATTTTAGCCTCCTTTGGTTATTTTCCAAGCTTTTGAGTTGTTTTGGCTATAGTCTTTTGGATGGTTGTGTGCAGAGGGAGATAGGATCCTTTGTTAAGGATTTTGGTGTTGTTATAATGTTAAGAGAGTTTACAGGTGTGGTTGTTGGGGGGTTGAACAAGAAGTTGGCCTTGGCTAAGGTGAAGTGTGTATTTTGTTGGAATGGTATTGGTTTGCTTTCTTTTCCCTTGCTTGTAATGATTCTTGTGATCATTACTCTTGAAATTTGCTATCCGAAGCAGGCGCCCAAACTTTGTTTTAGGGTTTCTCGAGCCTCGACGTTGTCAAAGCTTTCTTGCCAACAAGGAAAGCTACTGATCGAAAGGTCACTAGTTCAAGTGACCTGTTTGAAGACCTTACTTGGTGATGAGTTGATCCCGCCAGGTGAGGAAAAGCTAGCCATGGTCAAACAGTTTTGATTCTCTCCGTTGCTCTATTTATAGTGTGTAGTATGTTTTTGCTCCTTGTATTGTAAGGAGGCCCTAATCTGCAACTTGTCTGGCGAACTCAAGTTTAATAATGTTGTTTTTAATGTCAAAAGTTGTAAAGATTTAAGTGTTAAAAGCCATGTTTAAAGTCTTAGTTCTTGTTTTGTATTTTGTAAACTCTGATTTCATAAATATATTATGTTGGTGTCAAAAAAAAAAAAAAAAAAAAAATCCTACAAGTAGTTTTGGATTACATATGAAGGATCAAGATCAAAATTAAGAGATTAATCCATCATCACATACGAGTAGTTTCAGATTATATATGAAGGATCAAGATCAAAACAGTGGATTATAACTACAAGATTCAATTCTGTAGCACATGTTTGATTAAGTATTATACACCCGAAAATACCATATGTTTAAGATTTTAAATTTTTAGTTTTCACTTTGAAATTTCAAGACCATTAAGAGCATAGACATTAAATATGTTTTCTACGCAATAAAACAAATATGTAAGAAAATTGTACAATTTTGAGGACTCGATTGAGACACATGGTAGAAGCATCATCGTATAATTACCCAGAAAATCTAGTATCAACATCATTAGTACCAAAGATATTTCAGGTCAATGTGCTCCAACTCCAACCTACCAAGCGTTCATCTGTATGCTAATCTCTCACAACTTTAAATTAGTGAAGACTAGCTGCTCTTTAGTCATGATCAGATAAGCTGTTAACATGTGAATTTCACAGATCAAATTATGACATAATCTTTGCTTTTGTTGCCAGATATTCCACCCTCTTGATCTCCATGTGGCATGGCTATAGTATCCTACTTCCCACCTTTCTCGACAGTCTCAGTTCTACAAGATGTCTATTATACAACCGAATACACATGTATATCGAGACACCATACTTGATATTCCTTTAAAGTACGTCTTTTGTCCATCTGGGTGTGTATATATATATCGAGAGCATTATATAATTGTACTCCTTCCGTGTTTTAATACGTGTTACAGTTTAACCAAACACGCATTTCGAGACACGACTTTGACCCTTAATTTATCTAATTATATGTTAGTAAAATCATAGGAAATTTTATAATATGAAAGTATACATTACAACGATTCCAACAATGTATTATACAATAACATTTGTTTTTTATATATTAGTAAATTAATCAAGTCAAAACCATTATGTGAATAGTGAAAAAAGTCAAATTGTAACACTTATTAAAACATGGAGGAAGTATTTGATATTCATTTAAACATAAATACGCCTTTGAAATCATAACCTTCAACCTTCGTCTACGAGTATTCGAATCATGGAATGTATGCAGGAAAACTGTAATGATTCTGGCATAGTCAACTAAATTCTCCATGTCTCAAAAAATGGATTTAATGTTGGTTCATTTTAGAGTAGATGTTTTCTTTGGTACTGGTTGACTATTAAACTCCCAACCAAAATGTAATTAAGTTGACAGGTTTTTGAAATAGAATACTTTGCCAGTTGCCACAACCTGTCATCTGCTCAGCATAGTATTCAATTAGTTATTCTCCCTTTATTGGGAATTAATTTTCACGTTGATAGTGTAATTTGAATTAACAATCCGACAACCAAATCCGGACGATTGTTGCATACTCCATATCAAACTAAACATAATCAGGAGTATTGGAGATTACCTCTAAAAAGATAGTCCAATCAACAAATACATTAAATCAACACTCAAATTACAATGGAAATTCATTACATTCAATATTTATTCCTCGTAGTAGAATCTAAACAGTAAAAACCACAACAATTTGGCAAAAAAAAACCCAAATCATGAAGAAAAAAAAACCTAAAAATAGAAAGACAAATTACAAATAAAAATAAAATTATGGTCTTTTATTAGAAGAATTCATCTTCTCATAAAATCTAATAGAAAGAAGAGATAAAGACAAATGAACTTCATCCTTCCCCAACCTATTATTCCCACTTTTGACAGCACGCGCCGGAATCGCAGACGACGGAGGCAGAATCGGCTGAGCAGAGCTCGAAGAAGCCGGGGCGGTCTTTGCGTGATTAAGCGCGTGAAGGCGACGAAACCCACCAAGAGCAAGAACAACAGATCTAAGTTGACGAGTACTATAATTAATACTATTACTCCATTGACGAGTACAGATCAACTCCCATAATCGTTCATCTTGAGCAGTCCGATTCCATTGTTTGCTTACGCATGAGGCTGTGGCTAGGGTTTTACCATCTGCGTGTTTGAATACTTCGTAGAGGAGGTTTTCGTCGAGTTTTGCGAATTGAGAATTAGAATCGGAATCTGAATCGGAATTATTGGTTTGTTGATTTTGAGGTTGATTTAATGGGATGAATTTGGGTTTTTTGGAGGTTGTGGTGAGATTGGGATTGGAATCGGAGTTCATAGCTCGTTTCATGGTGGGTTTGGTTGAGTTGGGTGGGAGGAGAGTAAAAGGTGAGGAGATAGGGAGGAGAGAGAAAATGAAGGAGAGAGAGTGAAAGGGGTGTGGGTTGTGTGGAAAAGAGGGGGCATAGGCGAGAGGGAAACCCACCTCACGGATTTCCGGTCATGTAACTTTCTAACAACAAGACAACCCAATTCGATCCTCGCAACAATAATTGGGAGAGAAATGTAATCTAATCATTCAAAATTGATCTTAAATTCGAATAAAGCCTAAAGGGTGAATCGGGTGGAATACTAAAATAAAAAAATAAAAAAAAATCACCTTTTATTTCTAAATTTGTTTGATTAATTGCGATACCCCATAGAATACTACTCGTACGAGATATTCCCCGCGTTTTCAAATGTTCTTTCTACACAATACTATATGAAATTTAGATATTATATATTCATGAAATGAAATGAGGCCATCTTCTAAATTAATTTAAATTTACTACGAGTGTAAAACATAACAGTAGCTAAGGTACAATCATTTGTAAAATTTGTTCATTTGGCTTAAATAAGCAAAATTTATAATGATTAGAAACATAAAAAAAATATAATTGTGCTCATTTCTAATTAAGTATAAAAATAATGTTTGTGAAAACTTTATTTTGGTTGAATTTTTGGAATTATAATTATTGTTGAGTGGTATAATGTAAACAAGGTGAAGAGTTTAATTAGATAAATTTGCTCATTTTTAAATGTGCTCAACTTCAATAAATTAGCAAAAAATAATGGTTCATTTTAAAAATTAAACATAATTATCAATGACAAGGGAAAAATAAATCAGAAATTTTTACCTCAAATTGTTCATTTAGCTATTGAAGATTATTAACAATGAATTGAAAAAGAAGAAAAACTTAAAAGAGAAGGATTTCCATAAAAATAAATCAAACTTCAAACCTAATATGGAATATTCTCATCATGCAACAAATGGTGAATTAATTTTGAAAGATCATGCAACACATGGTGAATGAAATTTAATTTGAAAGTAAAAAAGAAAAGAGAAAACTAGTCTTATGTGTTTAGATAGTAAAATAGGAGAGAGTGAGGGATAACTCAAGTGGTTATAGCTTCCCTCCTGGTCTCAAGAGATCGAAGGATCGATTCTCATCACCTGCCTTTGTGGCTCTCTAAACACCAAAAAAAAATAATAATAATAATAATACTCCCTCCGTCCCTTATCTACATACCTGTAAATCATTTCGGGGAAACCAAAATACATGTCTATTTCTATTAAAAAAATTTACTTTTTGACAATATTATCTCTTTTTGATGAGTTGTTATCATTTTATTTACTTATTTTTACTTTTAACATCATTTTCCAACACTTTCTCTCTCCATCTCTTCAATAATTACCAACTACCTTTTATTTGTCTCTATTTCTCTTTACCCCACATGCATATTTGTACTTCCCAATCATGGCTTTTGTAACACCCCCAAATCTCCCTCTATGGAAATCTCAGTATAATACGAATAATTATACCGTAGAGATAGACTTAGGCGTGTTACCGCCGCGTGATTACGCAAGGCTACTCAAAATACTTAACTCAATAACAAAACTTGTAGCGGAAAACTCAATTTTCTTTTATTAATGCTTATAAAAATAGTAACATTGTTATGAGTACTCAAAATAAAGATAAAACCAACATTCCTAAACTAGGTGAAGCAAATCCTGGGGCTCCCATATGCTCATTCATGACTCTACCTGAAAATAGTCAACACTGCTTACAAATAAGGTAAACAGGGCGAACCAAAGCAAATAGGAAATATGGATTGACAAAATATGCTAAGTTAAATAAGTGCAAGATAAGTAAACTCAATTTATTAGCAAACATGCTTTTAAAACCAGTTCCAATGATTCCAAAACTCGTGATTCAAAACCAATTCCAATAATTCAATAAAACGATTTATAAAACCAATTCCTCTTTTTAAAACAAATTCCTCACCCAAGTGTGCACACCCCCAAGTTAGTGTCTTTATATTGAAAAGCTATCCTTGAGGAAAGACTCGATCATACAAAGTTCAAAATCTTATCAACCAAATCCGCATAGTGGGATTACTATCATGCTTGTAAATCTTAAATAATAATAATTCAACAAAACCTCTTTAATTCAATAATTTCAATCTTTATAATAACCAACTCAAAACTCCTTTTTATTTAATTCAACATGCTTTCAAAATCAAACCTTTTTAAAAACTCTTTAAATCAATCCAACATGCTTATAAAAACCAAAATCCATTAAACATAATAAATAATTTCAAACCATTTAAAACAAGATAGAAATCCATTCTCAAACATATTTATTAAAACATGAATTCTCAAGGTTAATTTATAAACCATAATTCAAAACGATTTAATTAAAATCACACAAACATGCTTATTCATTCAACAATTTCGAAGGTATCTAGCCACCTAAATGTACATTGATTCTGAACCTCAATCAACACTTTGCACTTTCAAAGTTCAATCACGAATATACCTTGCAATTAACATAACCATAAGGTTATCACAATATCTTTAGACATAAACCCAAATCTAATGTGCATGGATTATATAACTCTTTTAAAAATAATACTTTTATATAAAATTATAGCTTTGAAATAAGTATTTATATTTTAGAAAACTAACCATGAAGAAAATAAATGAATAGGATTAAAGAGAATTGAATTTGCGTTGAAAAGAATAGGTAGAACTTGCAGAGGCTATATAAATTTGAATTGGGTGATTCTTGAGCCTAACCTCAAGGATTTTTCGAGAGAAACAATTTTTCATGAAATAGAAAAACCCCAAAACTGACCAGAAGTGCCCGAAAATTAGCTCCAAAGATATACGGGCTGATTTTCTTTTATAAAAGAGAAGAAGAAAAGTAGGAAAAAGTTGAGTCAAAAGAAGAGTAAGGGAGAAGAAGAGATTTGAGTTTTTGGTGTGCAGAATATGAGAGGTATTGGGGGTATTTATAGGCTCATGAATGAAAGAATTAAGGTAAGATTTTGTACGAAGAATTATGGTAAATTTAGTTTAAGGAATTACTTGAAAAAGAAAGTTAAAGAATTTAGGAAAGTCTAGTTTATAGTGATTAAGAAATGAAGAAATAAAGTAAGTATGTAGTCATGAAATATTAAATGGTAAATGACTTTGCTTGGGGAATAATCAAGAATGATTTAAGGCAAATAAATTGTATGATCAAATCTTTGTGAGATGGAGAATAGGAATTAAGGAAATAAGGAATTTAAGGAAGATAATTAAAATACAAAACTAACAACATAATTAACCCAAAATTAACATAGGGTGGCCAAAAATTTTGAGCATATCCATGCTCATATTTTCGGACCTCCACTACTAGTTTTAGGAAAATATTTGCTAGATTTTAAGGATTAAAATTGATTGTGTAAATAATATATTTTGTAGAAAATAATTAATTAGAAAATATTAACTTAAAACCAACTTAATTAACTAATAAAATTTAGATTTTCTACACTTAGAAAATCCAAAAATCTCATTAATTAATTTAGGAATTTCGGCCCTTTAATTTATAAATAAGAAATATATTTTTTGTTAATTAAAATATCCGAAAAATATATATATAATTCGGTTTTTATTAAAATAAATGGATAATAAATATTATCAAAAATCCAAAATAATCATTGAGTATTGAAAATGTTGTTGGCGCCAAAATTCAAATAGTATAATAAATTCCTAAAATACCCTTTTTAGAAAATACTAATATTGAAAAATATGTCTAAAAAATACGGGTATTACAGGTTTTAAGGAATCTTTAAGTTACTTAATTCCCAGGGAAAATGCAAAATAGGCTCGTAGATAAGGGATGATGGAGGGAATAGTAAAATAGGAGAGTCTTATGAATTAGAGAGGGTACATGAATCTTATGATGAATTTATTAGGCCCCGCACTTTTTACCTTTAAAAAATAATTTCAGTTCAATAAAAATCAAAAACTTTAAAGAACATATATAATAGAGATCAATCAGTAAAAATGAGTTTTAATCAGTAAAATTAATTTTAGTTGAGTAAAAATAAGTTAAGTTTAGCAAAAATAATTTTAATTTAGTTAAAATAATTTCTTTTTAGCAAAAATAAGATGAAGAGAACTTATAGATTAAAAGAGAAGGGAGAAAATGTGTCTTATTATTAAAATGTTCAAAAAATATTTAATAACATATTTTGTAAAAATGACGAAATATTATTTATTTCAAGAATATAAGCAAAAAAAATTGCTTATGTTGTGTAAATGAGCTGAAAAAATATTTGCTCATTTCATAAAATTATTTTGTTCATTTTGAGCAAATGAGCAAACTTTTATGCAAATGAGTAAATAATGATTACACATATGATAATCAGCTTTATGATAATAATTGCCACATAACACAATCATGTTGATTTGAGTCTTATTTGATCTGTTTTAATAAATAGATTATTAATACTAATATGCAATTAAAGATATTTATGATCAAAGTAATATATTGACAAAGGTGTATAGTCAAAACGGAAATAACTTATAGGAATAGAGGGAGTAAAATAAAAAAGCACCCATGCAAACACATACATAATAATATATATATATATATATATATATATATATATATATATATATATATATATATATATATATATATATATATATATATAACATGTATGTGATGTACCTATATGAAGGAAAACGATGTTGGATGTTAGAACTTAGAATTTATTGGAAATTATGTTACATTATTTTCCTTTTTTTTTCTCTAAATTTTTTTTCTCCCTCCGTTTTTTTTAGTTGACACGTTCCTTTTGTCACGTTTGCCAATGCATAACTTCAACAATTAATATCATTAATTACCGATAAATAAAAATTATAAAAAGTTGATATTTTGAATATATATATATATCGTGATAAATCTAACAAGATCCCACATGACTATATTTTTCATTACGTATAAAACACAAAACACGGTCAAATGGGAGTGAGTGAATAGTGGTAAAGTCAAAACGTGTCAACTTAAAAAAAACGGAGGTAATATATAATATGAAGTACTAAAAAGGTCATTATGCTAACTTTCAACCACGAAACTTTGAGTCTTTAATATTCCCTTTGTTTTTATAACTGCACACCGGTTTGACCGGCTAGTATAGGAAGATAACTTTCAACCACAAAACTTCGAGTCCTTTTAAAATATTGTTTAAGTGAGATTTGTTGGGAATTACCGAATTAATAAACAATACAGCATACTAGTAGAAGAGAGATAAAGTGGGCATAGTAAACATAGTATTATGGGGCATATAAAAAAAGATGGATGGTATAAAAACCTTTAATTTACATGTAACAAATACTAAGTTTTCTATCACGCCTTCATCAAGCCTTTTTTATCCCCAATGTTTTATTATAGTGTTTTTTTTCTTCTCTAACATTAGCTTCTTGGCAAATCTTAGATTTTACTTTAAAGAACACAAATATGAGAACATTAGCACATCTTTCCTGGGTTTAAATTACGACCCTTCATACAGATAGATTTGACAGATCCATAAATGATTGAATGTAAGCTTTCTTTCATGTACTCCCATAATTTGTACGAGTATAACCCAATTAACAACGAGTTTAGGTCCACTATACTTAATTTTGCCAAACAACTAAGAAAACATCACATCATATACATATATATGAGTATGACTAACAATATAACCTAGACACATGCATGAACTCAATACTACTAATCTAATCACGAAGGTTTGGAGTTGGTGGGAAACTCACCTTGTGACTTTAAGGTTGCAAGTTTGAGCCCCACTAACTATATTTACTTGGGAGTAGGAGGATTCCCTTACCTCCCCCCTCTACTCTCAAGTGTTGATTGCGGAGCTAGGCTGTCTTAACTTGTGAGAGATGTCGGTTTAATAGGGTCTTTCATCTTACCTATAAAAAAAATACTCCTAATCTAATCCTTGTGTTTGCAAGAACATCGTCTGTGGTGGAATTAATTCTCGCTCCTATACCCTACTACGTTTAAGGAGTTGAAGGCTAAGAATTGACAACTCTATCACTATTTAAAGATAAGATACAAGGGAAATTAAGTGCGTCCATCTTCTCACAAGGATGTGAAACATAATCTCTGTTGCCTGATTGCTTTCTCTATAAATATGTTAAACTTGTAGGAGGCAAAAGATTCTAAATTAAAAGTTTGTTGATATCATATACTTGTAATATATCATCAAATTTTTAGAATTACATTTAAATTGTCCAAGCTAGGGGAGTAATATTTCAAGGTATAACTTCTTAACGCTTTTTTAATATCTTTAGGCATGAGATGAGCTGAATTCATTTCATTTATCATCAAGTTCAGTTACTTTTTGAGTAATGTTGATGTGTGTGTATGATGCATGTGTACTGTTAAGAGCTTGATTTCCTTGCGATAAATCTTAAGTGTGGGGATTAGTAACGAAATCTCAGCTAATACCCAAAGTTTAAATGAGGCTTGATTTCATAAAATTAAGGCATAAGAAATATACTCGTTAATGATATAAAATCAAAGTGAATATAAAATAAACAACATTGCACTAGTATATTATTGTTTCATTTCCTTACTTTACATTACATGAGCAGTGTATAGAGATCTCACACCCAATATTTGTGTTTTTATTTTTTTTTTATTTTTAAGAAGACACCTAATGTTTTATTGAGGCTTGACTTTTTGACATTAAAGGCATAAATTAATTAAATCAGAGTCAATAGGAAAGAAACAACATATGATATGGCTATGATACAAGGATAGGACCTTTATTTTTTTTTAAAGAATAATACCTGTATTTTTACGAAAGAATAACGATAATGATAGTTAATTAAAAATATATGTATGAATTATCAAAGGAAACATGTGACGCGGGTGGTTTGAGATTTTAATTAACTATATTTAGGTATAAGTAATTAAATATGAAGTTCTTTCTTAAAACCAAGTTCATATGTAAAATACATATTGTCATCAAGATAATAAGAAGAGATCGAAATATATATTATTGTCAAATTCATACATCAAAGAACAATATCATTGCTTATTTTAGAAATCAAGGAGCATATATATGATTGAAAGATATTTTTGTTGCAAACATGCAAATTATTACGGAGTACTCTCTTTGTTTTTCTTAAGAAACTAACTACTCTCTTTAATTGGCTTAAAGGTAACCCAAGTAAAGGCAATAATTACTTTCCGAAAATTCAAAAGTATACATAACAATCAATTTTTGATGTATGCATGGTGAGAAAATGAGGCCCAAATATAGTGTTGTCATTTTGTTAATGTTGTTGAATTTTATATGCACTACAATGAAAATTAATATTTCATTCAATATAGCTTTATTTTTGTTTGGATAACATAGATAAGAAGATTAAATAGGAGAAATTAAGAATCATTAAGTACCATTAATAACACCAATCAACGTGTTATCTTGTAATAAAATTTCCAAATTTATTCTTACTATGTACCAACGTCCCTAAATTAGAAACCTATTTCTCTTTATTATGTGAGTAATAAACATAAAAAATAGGTTTCTAATAAAGGGACGGAGGGAGTATATCATAACTGATATATATTTCCTTATTAATTTTTAAAAGAAAAAGTATTAAAAATTCTCTAAAAAGGCGAGTGTACGTCAATTTATTGTAAGACGGGTTAAAGTTATCTTAAAAGTATTTAAAGTTACACTTTATAGTACAAAAGTTATTATTTTTCTAATACTAAATTTTATCTTACAAAAAAACTTGTAATGTAATGATTAATCATGTTAGCCTTTATATTATGTAGGCATGAATCTATAAGAATTTACATATTAAAATAAATATTCAAACTAATGACAAATTAAAAGTTACCCTTTAAGTAATTAAAGTTATCATAAAAATAGTTAAACTTACCCTCAAACTGACCGTCTTATAATAAATTTAACGTACACCCGCCTTACACAAGACTTATTGAAAAAGTATTCTCATTACCTTAGCTTCACAATATAATTATATATTCAACTTAAACTTAAATCACTAATGCCCCACTAGAGTTTAATTATCTACTAGAAGTCTACAATCGTGCATATAGAAGAAAAATTGAACTTTTAATTAAGAATACCAGTTGTACAAAGAACAAGTCCGGGTAAATTTATAGTCATATGTTTCATTTAAAGTCAAGGGTGCGAGTAAGTAGTAATTAAGAATATGTAAAAGGTTATTCCGTGTATTATTTTTCTTTTCATATATGAAAAAAAACAAAATATGTAAAAATAAAATAATGTTATGAAATATTTGTGGATATCCATTATCCTCCCTGTATCATTTGTAATATTCTAGATTTAGGGTTTATTGTTATCTAAGCAAACCCTACTTATATTGTATGTATATATATCCACATTCTATGGAATAATAAACTGATTTATTCTCTCTCAATCTCTCATATTTTCTCCTTATTTTATAACACGTTATCAGCACCAAATTTGTTTCTACTTTCCTTTCTGTTTGATTGATTGTTGATAAAGGTCTACTAGATGTTTTGGTGTGCGACACACACGAGACCAATGGCCTTTTCCTCCACAACGATAGCATATGTTTTCATATTTATCCTTCTCATTCTTATTTCCATCTTTATTGTCCCACTTCTGGTGAGAGTATGAGTTTCTAAAATGACCACCTCGACCACGATCATGTCCACGTCCGTGGCCTCGTCCACGACCTCGACCACGACTGCTGGCGTGATCTCTAGCCTTTTTCTCTTTCCCACTATGGGATGTCGCATTCGCTTTAGGGAATGGAGTAGAGCCAGTTGGGCGTGATTCATGATTTTTCATTAATAGTTCATTATTTTGCTCGGCCACAAGGAGACAAGATATCAATTCAGAATATTTTGTAAAACCCTTTTCACGGTATTGTGTCTGCAGGACAACATTGTTTGCATGAAAAGTAGAGTATGTTTTTTCTAACATTTCTGCATCCGTGATTTTCTCTCCACATAATTTCAATTGTGATGTAATTCTAAACATGGCTGAGTTGTATTCACTCACAGACTTAAAGTCTTGTAATCTTAAATGTAACCAGTCATAACGAGCCTTTGGTAATATCACAGTTTTCTGGTGGTCATACCTGTCCTTTAGATTACTCTAAAGGACTTGTGGGTCTTTAATAGTCAAGTATTCAGTCTTAAGGCCTTCATGAAGGTGATGGCGAAGGAATATCATAGCTTTAGCCTTATCTTGGCTTGTTGCAGTATTGTTTTCTTTAATAGTATCACCAAGTCCCTTTGCATCTAAGTGTATTTCAGCATCTAACACCCAAGACAGATAGTTGTTTCCAGTAATATCAAGAGCAACAAATTCGAGTTTTGCAAGGTTTGACATGATTCACTGATATATAAAACAATATTATAAATTAGGAACTAAGATGGTATAATAAATATATATACTCCAAGTTTCAATTAAGATAACTAATTTCAAGTAAGTAATTATAACAAGATTTGCGTATTGAACTTTGAGAAGGTTACTGTTCATGAGACCATAATTAAGTCTACTAATCAATTATCATAACAAAACATAAACCTTAATTTACCATAATAAACACAAACCTTAAACAAAAAAAAAACAAAAACGTTATCTTGGGACAAGTAAGTTGTGGAAATACGTATGTAATCGGATTATAAAAAGTAATGTATCAATAAGGTCTTTGCACGCAATGATTGATTCAAAGCATTTCAATGACAAGCTTGCTTATTAATAAATACACTGTAAAGATACATCCACTTCTCAAAAATTTCTATAAAAAAAATTCTGTTAACTGTATTATTCTCGATAATGAATAAAAACTCCCAATAAAACATACAATATTTTCTCATTACTAATATCCCGCAAATATTAGACCGATCAATCCAAAAGAAGCAGTAACAATCAACAAAGAAAACGATCAAAAACCCCAAAATCATCAAACCAATTGAATGGATTAAACAGGATCCCGATCCCAATCACAAATTATGCAAGACGATTAACGCAAAACCAGCGACATAGGATAAGCGAAGAAAGACGAAAGCAGAAGACGAAGCAAAATACAGAGCATTAATGATTAAAACTTGTTGGATATAATAAATTCTTGGATGAGTACCATATTATAACAAAAAAAAAATAAAAAATTAATGATTAAAACTTCGTTATCAATTCTTTACAAATATTCCACCTCAGATAAACTATAATCAATCAACCACTCGTTTCTTAGCTCGAATTTCCGGACTAAAACTAACGCAATATGCCAAGAACAACACTTTACTCTAGTTGAACAATTAAAATAACGATTTCACACATGAAACAACAACAATTAAAGAGCAACTAGCAATATTAAGTGGGTGTTAAAATCAAAAGGGCAACATCATAAATTTAAAACAAACAAATTAAACAGCAGAGAACGGGTAATGCTAGAAATTGCTTAAAATCAAAACTTAATACTGTCGAACTCTGACCTCAGATAAACCCAAAAACTAATCGGTTGAGCACAGAGAACGGAGCACGGAGGCTACAACCTGATTACGCGTCACGCCGTCACGGACTGCGGGACTGTTAGTCTATGAGTAAAAGTGAGTTAGGGTGTCGAAGGAGAGGAGAGTTGTTTTAGAGTTTGGGTAGCCTTGAGAAGCAGTAATGCTCCTGATCATATGAATCAATAATATTGTTTCAGATCCAAGAGCAATGGTGCTGATAACGTGTACGAGGATGGCGAAGGTGATTTTGATTACGGTGATAAAACTCACCTGGAAGCAGCTGATTTCTTTCCTAATTCTGAAGAAAATAATTGAATAAATTATAATCCATTGGCGAATAAACACTATTAATTAGCTTGCATTTATTTTAGAATTTTATCGTAGTACTGTGATTTTATGCTTTATGGGACATTTGTTTTTGGATATTTTTATGTTTTCGGATATTTCATTATTATTATTATCAGTCATTTATTAATTTAAGTTATTTGGTTTAGTGAATCTTATTTTAGTTCCTTTAATTCTATTAGAATATTAATTTGAGAATTTTTAGTATAAAGGTTCATATAATTGGGCAAGAGGAACGAATATGAGTCTTATAAGAATTATTTTACTTTGCTATACATACATTGATAAAAGAATTTGTGACTTAAAAGGTGCAAGAGATTTAAAGGTAGTTGGATTAATTTAATGCCCCCACATGCAAGGATTAGGGGGAGATAGTATTTATATCATTATTTTATGTAATCCTTTCACATAAATAATAAAATATATTGATGGTCAGTTTGGTACATACATTAACTTAAATATTAATGTTTTATTTAATAAAAGTGGTCACATGTTAATTAATATATTTCAAAATGATACCATCCTGAAGATGGATATGAATAGATGTCATTAGTTATATACCTTTATAAGTTGCTAATGAACCTAAAGCACGCCTGAAGCGTGGTATCCGTAGCCAAGCCCAATAGATTCCAAAGATAAGAATATTCAAACAGGAAAAGAGCAATTATTGACAATAGTAAATTTGAGGAAGTAATACGTTTTGATAGACCTTTATAAGAGATTATATTTAGTAAAATGGATATGTACCATGATTATATAGAGTACTCTAGAAGAGTATAGAATTATCCAACAAGCTTAGAATGTATCAAGATTATAGTCAAAGCTCTAGCAGAATATTAAATTTTGGATCAAGTATTAGTTGATTGTCTTGCCAATTATATAAAGAAACACATTTTGGTGTTCTAATATCACATCATATTATGTCTCATAAAGTGATCACCTGGAAAACTAACCGTAATATAAATTTAGATAAATGATTGGATGTGATAATTAAATTAGGCCATCCGGGTTCAATAAATACCCGTTATAGAAACCTGAAGTTTCATTTGATAATGTGCTGACACTCTCTCGATGTTAAATATATGAAGTGAATTGAATGGCAAGACATAACATTGAGATTGAACTATATTTGGATTGTGATTTTCAATGATTTGTGTTGAAGAAAATTTCAAGAGATAATATATTCGTTTTGAATAAATTTTCATACGAATAATAGGTGACTAGAAGTTCACCAGAATAACTTATATGTTATCACATGTTGGTGACCAGAAGCTCACCAAATACAAGTTATATGAGAAAATTATGAATATTTAATTAGTATCATACTATCATGGTTTCTAGTGATCTAGAAGATCATCACCTAGTAGAATTACAATCAAGTTTATATTTGTATAATAATTCTTTTGATTGGGGCTATTATATGTCAGCACATAAGAAGTTGGAAAAGAAAGAAAAACGTACAACTGCACGACACATGTCTCCCCATTGACATTGATCTCCAGAAGAGAACATATTATAGAAAGTGTAACAATAAATACACATGCAGTGTAAAGTTAATGAAGAAATGATTCTTCATTGAAATTGTTCTCTAGAAGAGATAAAACTTGTTTAATACAAATCTTCTGAGATAATTATTTTGATTGTGATCCTCCCGATGAAAAGAATTTTAATTTGTATACTAAGTTGGTATAGAATTAGACGCCCCTATAAATGAGATATTTTACCAACTTAGGGGGAGAAGAATTAGCAAAAGTTGGAAAAATCGGAAAATATAATTGATGATCCCGATAAGGTAGTTTGTAAAGTTATACGCCAACTTTTGTCTATATATTATCAAGATATGTTGGACATTTATGATTTGATTTGTATTTAGTTATGACTCATGTTGCATAGCGTTGAAGATACTTTTTGGTCATATTATGTGTATACATTGAGATAAAATCTTGCCAATTATACTTGAATCACTACACCTGAAGTGTAGGTTGTATGATCGGTTCCAAAATAAAATATCTTTAATGGATATGATATATGTCAAGATAGTGCAGTTAACACTAATAGCGTAATAGTATATAAATACCATAGTGTATGAAATACCCTAAAAGTGGTATAGATATCTGAATTATTACAATAGATGGCCTATGATGTAAGGAAGTTATGATGGTACCAATAAGAAAAGTATTCAGATATCATAGTAAAATAGCATGCGGAATGTACGTTAAAGGAATATTATGATACCGGTATACAAGGGAACCGATAAATAATATGCATATGTATGATAGAATGGACTAGTGAATAAGGGATCTGAAATATATATGTCCATTTTGATGTCGACATAATGATAATGATCAAAAGTTTATCATGGACTAGAAGTCCAATGTAATATGGATTTTTAAATCCACACTGTACAGTGTCTTGCATTATTTTGAGTCCTATGCATGTTTATATGCATGTATAATTCATAGGTTAACGGATTGTTCATTGCATATGTTAGTAGTTGTTAGATGCATTACTTATTGTATATTTTGCTTAATATGTTATCATGTTTTATATATCTCATATTGCATGCATTAGTTTCTATACAATATTTGTGGTGTATGTGCATGTTCATTCAAAGTATAGTAAGGCATATTTACAACTTTGATGGAAAATTAGAAAGACATATTTATATTCCAACGGGCTTATAATTATGATGAAATTAAATATGACGTTGATCTAATATTATTTATGAATCATGTAAGAGAAGTTCTCGAAGAACGTATATGCAACATATTTATAGCCCTACAAATTTTATATCTTGAATATTGCAATTATTATCAAACTCTTGAAAAGTCTATATGACTACATCATTGACTTCTCAACCTGAAGTTTGAGCATATGAAAGTCAGTGAGATTTGCTTTTGTATGTACAAGAGAGCTATCGTGTCAATTATGAAACGTCTAAGGAATATCAATGGAATACTTATGCGTGAGAATGTTTTCTTATGGTCCAGAAGAACCATGATTAGCGTATCTAATTACATGTGTTATATTATAATTCAGATGAGATTGAAGAACGACATTAATAATATCAAGTTTTGTCATCAAATTATTATTAATGAATGTTTGATCAAATAATGATCATCGATTTCTATTATTCACGACCTCCAGAAGAAGGCCTAACCGCATAAGTTTAACTTTTAAAATAACTTTATTCAAATAGAGGTTTGGAATGATGTAGAGATAAATACATGTATGGTGAAATGAATACACTTCACATGTTCACTTGAAGACTTGAAGATGCAATTTCAGTTTAGGAGGATCGAAGACCAATGAATGATATTTTACTACATATTAGAAGATATCCATCTATATTGGATTCATTGTTGCGGCACTAGAAGATCTCAGGTTATGTATTCATCAGGGGGAGAAAATACGCGCTGCACTCTTTTTCCCTTGACCATGGTTTTGTCCCACATTGGGTTTTCCTGGTAAGGTTTTTAATGAGGCAGCATCTCGAGCGTATTACGAAGAATATTGTACTCTTTTTCCTTC